GAGTTAGCTAGGCAGGTTTCAGATCCATACATTGTAAAGACTTCCCCCATGCGTTATAAACATGTGTATTCGTTTATGATGAGAGTTTATTTGACCTCTATTTATCGCGAAGTTTTCCAAAAGCCATGAGCCAAGATAGAAGTGTCAAAACTTAAGACAATTTGGCTGTACCTTATAACCAAAAATGTAATAGTTGCAAAGAGGAAAGAGGAATAGTTGACCAATTTCTGTTTCTGGGCACTAGTCTGGCGGACATTCTAAACATGGATTTTCAATCATTTAATTTCCTTTATCAACCAAGTTGGCTTGTTTTTAAATTGATATTTTTATAACCGGTCTAGTGGTATTAAAGTGGAGTCTATGCGCTACTTTGGTACAAAAGAAAGCTGCCCCACTAAATCCAATCAACTAATAACGGTTGAAGCAAACAATACTTTAATTCTCATTAAATCTATTTGAGGCTTCTATTACTTAATTAAGGGTTTTAAATAATTATATGTGAGTACATAACTATGAGTTTGTTCGTATTATCGTAGTACTCGTACTATGATGAATCAAAGATTGAAGTACTATGATATTAGCAGATAGAAGTCAGTCTTTAAAAAGTGTGGTGTTTAAAGGTGTAAAAATATGTTCTTTGTAGTTATCATAGAGCAGATATAATTACTAAGGGTACTAATAAATTTTTATAGGACAGCAGCTATATCAGTTGTATTACATTATAAATACATTACAAATACAAGTATCATATTAGAAGTATAATTTTAAATTTCCTCTCACCCCAGTGCGTAGGGTATTATAAGAAATAAGTATTTCTAAAAACATTTTTTCCTACATATGAGTGTTTCCATTTAAAAATGTATTTCCGTTTCGTTTGGGCAGGGACAGGGACAGGTACAGGGATAAGCTTAAGTAAATTTCTATACAATATGACATACCATTTACAGCAAAGATTAAATTCTCATAATATGTTAAAGTTAAAAAACTTAGGGTAAGTCCCAGGAACACATGTGTTTGCTGTTTTGGTTAAATTTTTTACTATTTTCCTCCTTTAAAAAAATAACAAAGAAGAAAAAGTCATAATATAAAGTGAATTAATTAATAGAAATATGAAATATGAATACAAATAAAAAGAATATTCATCTCACATATAAATTTTTATATGCAAATAAAACGTATACAAAGTATAAATTATCTCACATTAAATACATTAAAAACGGAAGCAATATTAAATTCAATAAAATAATGAATAATGAATAATGGAAACGAAATACGAATAATTAAAACAGTTGCTATGAAAAATAAATCGGAACAAAGAAGAATATATAATGATAAAATCATTTTTACAAAGAGCTCATAATAAAATTATTTTTCTTTAAGCAAACATAATTAATATGAAATCCAATTACATATAATTAATTTTAAAAAATACAATTTCAATTATATTTATTATTAATATATGTAAGCTATTTTTATGGAATTATATTTCACATAAATTGATTAATTTTGAGTAATAATAAAAGTGTTTAGTGTAGTAGAAATTATGTATATCTGATTAAATTAAAATATTTTAATTTATATATTTTCTTCATATATCTTTATATTAATTTAAATTGTATCATAAATGTGGTATGATTAAATTCTATTGAATATTAGTTTGAAAGATTTGTTTGTTGATATGAAATTGCTTGATGAAATTTTAATAAGGATTGTTTAATTGAACCCCCCTCCTCCCATAGTATTTACGTGGCTTACACACTTCAGTAGGCATATAGAAGTTTTTGTTACGAATTTTCAAATTTAATCAAAAAATTATTTTATTTAATTTTTCCATAAATTTTTCATAACCTACATTTCAATATAAACACAAGTCAAAAACATACTCTAAATATCTATTAATTTATATGCATAATCTTTATAACAAAGGATATCCTTACAGAAATTGGAAATCACTCGAGCGATAAATTATGTATTTGTATGTTTCGGAGTGTAAAAAGAAAAGACCTATCAAAAAATTTAAGAAAGTGAGCAAAATCATTCGAGAGTATTTCAGTAAGTAAAGGAAATACTTTAAATTTTTTGAATTAAGCATACGCAAGCAATTTTATAACATTTGAATTTTACAAATGCGTTACTCATACGCAGTGATGTCCACACAAAAAAATTAACAAGCAAAAAAAACAAATCTCTTTAACAATTTCAATTTCGTTGTATTGAGAAATCAATGTAATTATATTCCTAATAATATATCCTAGTTAGAAAGGTGTACATGAATCCAACACCAGAATTTCGGAGGCAATGGACACATGGTCGAGTGTCTTCCAAGCTGAAATTCACGCAATTAACTCATGCGTAAGATCCAATATTCAAAAAAACTGTCTGGATCGAGAATTGTTATTTACTCTGACAGCCAGATTATTCTTTAAGCTCTGTCTTCTTGGATTTTTAAGTCCAAACAGTTCCTTGCGTGTTATGAGCTTCTACAGTTACTTACAGCTCGAAATAAGGTAAGCCTTTACTGGGTTTTGGGTTACAGGGGAGTTTTCGGAAATGAACAAACTGATGAACTAGTCAGAACAGCATCAAAACCTGCTTTCAGTGACCCTCAAAGCTTTTGTGGGTTGAACTGGTTTAGTACAAAACAAATTATCAAGGAGAGGGAAAATCATATGCAGCTGGAGTACTGGGAAGACTTTCCAGGACTTAGATAAAGCAAAGAACTGATGAAACCGTAATCCTACAAAAACATTCTTCAATTCTCAATATGTTATTTAAGGTTGATAATGGGTTTTATTACCTGAAATAAAACTGATTACCTGATAACGGGCCTGAAATATCACATTCATAAACTACGATTATCTACTAATTCGGAATGCAGATTATACCTCGAAGATAAGGAAACTACTATGCATATTCTTTGTGACTGTCTAGCTTTAATAACGCACAGAAGAAACTTGTTTCATATGGAATTTCTAACACTAAAACAGGTTAAGAGCCTTTCTCTATATTTAATTCTGGACTTTGTTCATAACGTTATAAAGGGTTTTGTGTAGTCAATAGTGAAATTGGAACAATAGAATTCTTCTGGCCGTAGTATCGGTTGTTGGGCGATTTCACGTCAAAGCTTTAATAATAATAATAGGTTGGAAAGATTTAGTTTTAAAAAATTCTGTATATTTTATAATCAGTCTTATATATTAACTAATAGTTTTATATTTATATAATTAAAAATTTAGCATATATATACGATATTTAAAACTTATTTGTTAGTCATAAGGAAATTACTTTATTCACATTTGCTATTTATTTTTTATTGTCAACTATTCTTACTTTCACCAATGTTGCTCTACAATCAAATATTTTGAGCAGTGCAGTGCTTCCAGTTGAAGTTTGAAAAAGTATAAAGAACCCTAATTACAAGCCAATTTCATTCGAATTTTGAATTCAACTGAATTGCAAGTTGAATTAGTAATCCAGTATGCTTGCTTACTTTAACAACATAAAAGGATCTTTGACATTTTCAATTGGTCTCTAAATGAAACTTTCACAGTAATTAACAAAATTGAATTTCTAAGGAAAGTTGAACTTTCTTTTAGTTTTAGAATAATTTGCTGCCACTTTAATTTTTTGTCAAAAAGTTTCAATTATTAATTGACTTTTTAAATCCATGGGAAAAAAACTAAAATTTCTTTTTACATTACTACAATTACTACATTATATTTTAAAAACGATTTTAGAAATGAGTACTTAAACAATTCATTTGAAGAAAATAGATTAAATTATCAAATATAACAATTTATTTACAATTAATTTATCTATATTAATAAGATAATTGTGAAATGTTTACTTATCTTTACGAAACGTTTAGTCCACTCCATTAGTCCACTTTAATAAATTTTTATATCTATTGAATTTTGTTCTAAGATATGTAATCTCTACAATTCTTGAACATCCTGCGTTTCTTCCAATAGATCCACAACTAGTGATTTATACCGGTACTCGATGTTTAAAGATATATTCAAATAAAGCTTTTCAGAACTAAATCCTTTATATAAGGATCATCTAAATGGATACATTTACTTATACCAAACAATGGCATCTTCGTTGTTATTTCAAGCATTTTGTGTCGAAATCGTTTCAGTCATTCTTCATGGGAGCTATCAGTTATGCTTCAGTACTCTATTCCATATAAACAGATTGATACTAAAATGGCTTTGTCAAAGAGAATTTAAGAACGAAAGCTCAATTTAGTTCTTGGACCCAGTACCCTGTCTTTCATTCTTTTTTTGGTTTTAAAATAAGCTTTGTTTTTTGAATGGTTCCTTCCACATTAATCTTCCAACTATTCTAAATGATGCATAGCTAAAATATAGGCCCTGGTAGTTATCGGAATGGTATATTCACCATGTTTCACTAAAGAGCAACTGTTTCTCCTCATAATGAACGTTTCAGTATTGATTTTTATCTTTCAGTGTTTGGACTGAGTTTCTATGGAGTTAAATCCCCTTTGGAAAAACCCAAGTAGCAATTTCTGCTGAACAAAATCAAAGCACTAAGTTTTTGTATTGAACATATAGTTAAATGGTACCTTTCAAGTCAAAAAAAAAGCTTGATGAGAATAAATTAATAAATAATTGGTATTTAAGAGAGTGGAATCAAAAATAAATAGAACAAATTAAATGATGGAAATCTATTGAGAGAAATCACCTTTAAGTAGCAAATCTTGTGCTGACAGATAAAACAGAGAGCAAGGGGTCATAATGGCGGATTAAGATGATAGGTCATGATAATGACTGCAGTTTCTAACGTTTTATACTTCAGTAAATTATATTGAATGATGGTTAATAATTTATCCATTAGTAGATTATTGTCCACAACGTTATCTGGAAATCATACTTATTTACTTACTTAGTAGCCTACTATGTTTTACTATTTTAACTATATATATTATATGGTAATATGCTTTTATTATATATAAATATACTAATGTTTCATTGCAATTTAATTTTATCATATGTGCTTTATTTGTTTGAAGTGGTTATAATATATCACTATTGATGCGAATGGTGACGGCACTGTTGGAGTTTATTTCTAATGGCATTAACCGTTAATGCGTGAGAAAGGTATATCAATATTCAAGATGTGGTGAGCATATAACTTTCATAATTCAAATGGATGTGTATTATTCATTAGACGTAAAGTAAATATATCAATAACTAAGATGTGATAATCATAAGATTTCAGCAGTTTAAAGCGATCCTCTAGGCATGAGCTAAATATATCGATATTTAAAATGTGGTGACCTCAGGTAACCTTGGACTTCCTCAGTTCAAAGGGATGTGCATTATCCAATAGTTGGGAGCTAAATATATCAATATTTATGATGCGGTGACCTTTTGACTTCTTCGGTTCAAAGTGATATACATTATCCTTTAGGCGTGAGTTAAAAATATCGATATTTAAAATGTGGTAACTATATGACTTCCTCAGTTCAAAGGGATAATTTTTCCTTTATTTTTTCCCTTAGGGGTATTAAGTATTACGCGTGAGTTACATATTTCGATATTTATGATGTGATGTCCATACGATCTCCTCAGTTGAAAGAGATGTACTGCTTAGATAAACTGTTGTAATGAATTGTAGACAACACACGTCATGGATGCATACCAAAATAATATCACACACATTAACAATAATCACAATCATCGGTATCTTAAACGAGAATTTGTTACAGATGTCAGTCTATGAAAGCTTAATTAAGTAAATAACTTTAAAGTACTACTTTAAAATTAAGTGACTACTTCATGACTACTTTAGAGCAAGGAATATTTTTATGTATTGAATACAATTTATAGTAATTATTAAAATATATTTGAATGGGACTTAACATTTATACTTACTGATTACTGAATAAGTGCAGTTTCCAAAATGGATGTGTATAAATTCATTATATCTTTTCCTTGTCTGATATAATCCACCGATAGTTGTTTAAGTTGAGTGGCTAATCACTTCTCGTAGATCATTAATTTGAAAAAAATTTGTTTCTTAGTGCATTCCATCTCTTATTTACGCAAACGTTCTTCTATGTCCTGAACCATTTTTTTGACTTTTGTAGAGATAGGTCTGCAAAGGTCAGCTTCAAAGAAAGGTGTCGGTTCCTCTTTTTTAGTGGGTTCTGAATATTCAGTGATTTCTATTAAAATTTGAAAATTAGTTAAGAATATCAAAATATTCTTCTTCAGGTATATTACTTAAAATAATATAACATACTTAGCTATTCTATATAATACACATCTTTGTTTTTACTTACATATATAACATATAAATAAATAATAACTTTATGAAATATATATTATACACAATAAAAATAATTTAATGTTTATATGTATATATATGATATACTTATGTATATATATATCCAATTTCGCAATATCTTACCCCGTTTACGTTTTCGATCCATACGCATTTTATGTTTGTAGTATTGAACTGTATCCACCGCACATTTTTGACAGTCTTTGCTAGTAAAACAACACCCTGTAACTGCTTTCAATTCTTCCGACAATGGATTATTGTGTAAATTTAAATAACGAAGTTTTGATAGTCTTCCAAAACTGATGGGTAAGTCGGTTAAAGAGTTATCATAAAGGGTCAAACTACGCAGTTTAAATAATTGGCCAATGCTTGATGGCAAAGAAGTCAGTTTATTTGCGCTTAAATCCAATTTGATAAGCGTTTTCAATCTACCGAATGTATCATTTATGGATGAAATGCTGTTGTTATGTAAATCCAGAACCTTGACATTATATTTGGAGACTTCTAATATTGGAATTTTGACTAGTTCAGCATGGCTGAGATTACACATTTCATTCGATACAGCTCTCTTCACTTTTTGAGCTTCATATTTTTTTTGCACTAACAAACGCATGTTTCTAATTTTGAATTTTGTAATTGAATTGAGTTAAATAATTATAATTTCATTATATTTTTGCCAAATACATTTATTTCAATATAATTTTGTTGCCAAAAGAACGCTTAAAAGGTTTTAAATTTATAACATAAAATTAGTTAGTTTAATTGTTCGTAATTAGATTTAGTTTGACAGAGTTTTCAAGGATTTAGAAACTACATTTTTATAAAAAAGAAATTAGAAATAGAAATTAGAAATTAGAAAAGTTGAAATAAGAGATCCGGAAACTAGGATAATAAATAGTGCAGACGTCATGAAAATGCTGTGAAAAAATAGAGGTGTGGACGCAGATCGAAAATCACAAAACATGGCTTGAAATGCCAACATAAAAGAGACCCTTCTCGAAGTAATGCGAAAGTGGTTCCGAGGGAGAATAAGACTCGCCGAAAAGGAGGTATTGAAGTTCGTATACTACATGTTCATGTTAGGAAGTCGGGAGCACCATTCCGAGAAAAATCGGTTTGACGGTGCATAAAGCATTCACCTCCTCACCACAAAAACAAAAAACAAAAATAGGCAGCTACTAACTGATCATCACATCTGTGGAGTATTCTTTTCTCCAATGCTTAACAAACAGAGTTCAATTTCAGTATACTAACTTAATGATTCTAGAAGTTACTTTATTTGCTAATATATAGTGAATCAGCCTACGAAGGTCATATTCCTAACATTTCCATATATTACATATTAATAAATTTAATACATTTTTATTAAAACTGTTTTATATGCCATTTCATGTTTTGTAATATTCAAAAAAACTTATAAATAAGCTTTCTAAAATTTTAAGCTGTAGTGTACTAGAATTTTTAACTAAAGCTCATTTCTAAGCTGTTTCTAAGCTTTATGTTTGCATGTCAAATACCGTATCAATAACAATACTGTCTAGACCGTAATATTACGATATTTGCTCATTGATTAAAGAAATTTAGTGGAGTCTCCAACCTTCATATGCAAAATTTATAAATGTACAGTATGAATATTATAGGTTTATTTTCTAAAGTTAAGAAGCGTCAATGACATTTTTTTTTCTTCGCTGCAGTACTTTTTTAAATTATTAATTTAAAGTTATAACAAATATTAAAAACAAATAGAATTACAGATTAAGAAACATATTCTGGAATAGAATATGTAGTTAATTTTTGATTCTAGACTGTTAAGTTAGATTACACCGACGATCCTTAGGATACCCTAAAGGCTATTGGGCCACTGTGTTACTGTATGAAAAACTAAAAGGTTTAAAAACTACCTTCAGCAAAACTTAAAAAGCTTTTTAGAGGGAGGTTCCGAAGTTGGCCAAGTATTTTAGAAAAAGGAAGTCGCTAGTATAGTTAATCGGCGCCATATATACGCTTAGCGGTAACGATGTCAGCGCGGAGCTCAAACGAAAAGTTACTATATCTTTCAGAAGGCTGTAGAAACATCTCATTTGAAAATTTACCCGCCATTTGTCACCCTTCCTATTTATGTTTTTGTACGGTGCAGAAGCAAGTACATTATTACAGAATCAAGGAGCAGCACTGACAGTGTTTGAAAGAAAAGTTTTTCGTGCTCCAGGAGTTGGACTACTATATCTAAATCAACTACGAATTATAGCAGCTTAATCATGACATTGTTCAGTAAATTAACGCTTAGTAGTTTCATTGGCTTGATTATATCGTGGATGGATGACGATATTTTAGCTTAAAATGTATTCGAAGTAGTGGTTGCGTTAGTGAAGTTATCAAATAGAGGGAGAACTAACCGTACTAGATGTACTTACAGGTCTTTCTAGATTAGGTAACCATGCTAGGAGATTGAATATCACCTTCAATTAATCCTGTTGCTACTGTGGGAATGACGATGAAGTACCTCTCATTTACTTTGTCTTTGACCAGTTAATGTACTCTATTATTGAGTCATGTAGTCACTCAACACTTTAGGGGCCCCCTGCTTCGAGGATCTTGATCAACTATAAGACCTTTCACTAAACAACATTTTGAACTTCGCTAAAGGCTCCAGGTGGTTTCAAACCTTCAGTTCCTCTATTGTATGGTAACATAATGACCCAATAGGGCTACGTAAATCTTTTTTGAATTGCCGGTATAATCCATCCCGACCCAAACAAACTCAACCTAATCTAACCGTGCTTGATGTACTGAAGTGAACATAGCAAAAGCATATTGAGAGGTGTTCTATGTCAGGTCGAAATCCGGTATAACGCGGGATATAACGGCCAAATGAGCAAACAGGGAAGCAAATAAGCTTTCTCAAAATAACAAAACATTGTGAAGAAATTTACTGAAATTTTTTTTTCATCTTCACAATTTTTAATTCATGCTTTCTCCACACATTAAACCCCGAATCTTCAGTGAATGGAAATTGTTAAAAATTTTTAATTTTCTTTAAATCAAAAATCCAAACTGAAATTACTGCTGGAAGTGACTTCAACTCATATTTACTAAGCAAAACTTCTTTTTCATAATTTCAACTTCGCTTTATTTGACATTTTATCAGAGATTCCTCAGAAAACGCTCCCAAACACTTTCAAATACAATCAAAAATTCAAGACGCACTGCAAATCAAAAGTTAAACTGATTTTTACGCCTGCGGTGAAATTTCGTTCGAGAAGCAGAGCTTTTTGTGCACTTTCAAGTGCTCATACCTACACACATGCACATCAGTGCCGCATTGATTCTGCACTCGTACCACTTGCCATTGCATGCATTGCACTGTCTGTGCTTGTTTGTGCATGTTTGTGCACGTCATTTACTGTGTGTGCACTGTACTCAAGATTTGTTTGCCGATAGAAGCGAGAAGTATTTTCAGTTGCACGCTGATGCGCTTTGCACATTTGAACATTGTTGCGCCTGAAGGATATTTTCGTGATTTCTCAAATTGACGACAAGGAAGTAAAGATGTGTACCAACGCTTGTCGCTTAAGTGAGGAACTATGTGAAAACAACATCTCACATATGTACCTATGAGAGGAAAAGTAAAAATTTCTTCCAAAAAAAAAAATAGAAAAATCCAAAGATAATTTTTGTTATTTATATTTTTTTTTTGGAAAATAAAAAATAATTCTAAAATGAAAAAATTTTTAGGATATATAAAAAATAATAAGGAAGTTTTTTAAACACTTGCTGACAGCATTAAAACTGTAAAACTGTAAGTGCAAATTTAAGAAATTAGGTCGTCTTCAAAAACACTTCCTTTATAAAATATAAAAAATTAACAACAAATAAAATAGAAAATAGAAAAAAAAATAAGAGAAATTTAAAAACAACAAGCAAAATAAAGTCTTGAAAAGTAAAACTCAAATTCAAATTCAAACATTAAAGAGAAAAGCAATTAGAGATAAGATCGCATCATTTACGACGGCCCACATTTCGGTTCTAAGGCAGCTGCAGCTTCAGTTTCAGCCAACTTATTCTGTTAGCTGCTGATGTGTATATATCTTCTGCACACTTCCAAACACTGGCTCACGTATTCATCTTGCCTTCGTGCCTTTCTGAAAGTGCTTAAGCAGTTTTTGTCTAAGAAAAGTACACACTCATTTGCTTGCGCACAAACTTTTGTCATTTAGATTGTATCTCAATAGTTTTGCATATACAGAATCCTCATCCTCTTGCCAGCATCCTCCAACTGAATGCAGTTGCATTTCACTTTGCTGCTACTTTTACTTTATGTACTTTTTGCCTAGTGACATGCTTTGATCAAACTGATAAAAACAAATTCTTAATGTGTTGAATTTAACACTTCAAGACATTAATTTTCTCTTTGAATGACCAACTAAAGGCTTAAGGAAATCTTATGAACTCACAGCAAATAAAACTATTACTTTTATTTTTTTTTATTATTTTTAATAAATTTCTTATATAAATTATGAATATTAATTTCTTTTACTGTGAAACCCCACCATTTCTTAAATAGAATGAACATGGAAAAATAGAATTCTATGCATTAATATTAAGTGTAAGTCATTTGAAGGAAAAAAAAAAATTTAATAGTGTTGATAAAAAATTTGAAATAAAACCTTAGAATATCAAACAAAAATAATACTTTTCAATTTATGTCGATAAGCTTAAGCTTGTTGGGGTTGTAACCTAGTATACTCGTTTACTATACAGGTTTATAACGATAAATAATAAAAAGCTTTCAGTTTAGCACTAATAACTTCTCGCTTGAATTGAGTTCTACCAGCTGGCAACACTATAACTATATATTTTCTGTGAAACGTGTATAGTCCCATACCGAAAAAGATATGCCTACGGTTGTTATTCA